TTATTACAGAATTTCTAATTCAGTCTATTCAGCACTAGTAAGGGGTGTAGCTTGAGTAGTTGTAAGGGCTCATTTCTATCAAGGACGCCGCTAGAATAATATGGCGAATTTGTTTAATCTGAACAAATGAAATTGTCTGCGTAGTTTAGACAGAAATAATTATTTTTTAAATAATGTATGACTTAGAACAGTAACTTTTTTTTAACATTTTCATGGTGATAGTTTCATTGTAATTATACCAATGATTGTCACTTTTGCGTGTTTTCACTTAAATTCTTACGTTTCTTTATTTTCTTAGTTGTGATCTTTGTGCTTGACTGCATTTCATTCGATTTTTTTACAACCATGAACCATCTTACTTTTTTTAACCGTGAATATGCCCACATGCATTTTATTTATAGTTTCTGTAATGGAAATAGTCTGTAGGCTCAAAAAGAGTATCGGCAACGTTCTGCAAGATTTTTTGGAAAAATTCATGCAAGAACGATGGATATCGTGAATTTGGCCGTCCAAGGAGGCGTAGGATTATTTAGACGAAGTAATTTTAGGATTTTTTTTACGTAATCCTACTGCGAGTGTAAGAAGAGCGTCGCTCATGATGGTTCATGGTTGCAAAAAAATCGATTGAAATGCAAATTCAAGCACACAACTAAGAAGTTAAAGAAACGTAAGAATTTAAATGATAGTATGCGAAAGTGACAATCATTAGTATCATTACAATGAAAGTCACTATGAAAGATGCCTACTTTGTGAAAATGTTAAAAAAAAGTTACCGTTCTGAGCCATATATTATTTAAAAAATAATTATTTCTGACTAAACTACACAGAAAATTTTTCTTTAAAAAAGTCTAATTCATTAAAAAAATAATATTATTTTCTTGATAATTCAAAGGAATAAAAAAAATTTGAAATATTTCTGTTAAGGGTAGTTAGAAAACTATCCTTATTTATAACCGATTTTGATGAAACTTATGATAGTTAAAGACCCTTATGATATGATTATTACCTACAATTTTCATTCCATTATCTTAATCAGAAAGAAAGTTATTTTAAAAAATACTTAAATGATAAGACCCCTTTGGAGGGGCATATCTCATTTACTATTTTTCGCTCTCTTTGCACCTCCTAAAATTTTGTACCAACTGTTCCAAACACCCTGTATATACCATAATAAACAGCTTTTTGAAAAGTCCCAATAAATTTAAATAGTCCTCTTGGTTTTCTAGTGTGTACTTGATAGACTTGATTGTATAATTGGGAAGTTTTTGAATTTTAAACTTTATTTAAGGGTTGTAGATTGAAAACATTGATTAGTGTCCCGTAACATTAAATTTTTAACTACACGTGCGTTATAATCATTAATACGAATAATTTTGAAAGAGCCATTTTTACCTACGGTTTTTGATTCATGTTTTTTGGACTCTTTCGCTTATACTTTTTGACCAATTTTATAGTTTTCCTATTTTTTCCTGTCTGATTCATGTGAGATAAGTATTTTCGGATTAATCAAACTATTGTATTGTAGAATGAAATCTTTCTACGGTTCCATATGATTTTGGATGGAAATGTATGGTAAATTGAATGCCAATTTGATTATTTGAATGAATTCTTTAATATTCTATTAGGACTCTTGCCCCTTCTCATACTTTACATTTAATAGGAATTGCTTGTCCAAATTTTGTAAACTATCATCTGAGGTTAAATAATTTTTTCTAATTTGGAGGTATCCATGTATATTACTTCAAAGGGTGTTATATTACTTTGTGTTGGTGTCAAATTCATTGGTATCTGAGGAAGATGTCTATCATATTTGCCCTTTTGACATACATTGCAATTATTAATATATTCTTAGATAGTTGTTAATATTTGGTTCCAATAGTATCTTTGTTTTAATTTTTCGAAGGTCTCTATGATTTGATTTTCCTTCGGAATATGTGTTATATGATTTCATCAATTTCATAATTTTTCGCAGAAACATTCTCTGCTGAGTAGATCTGACTAACTTGGGTCCATTATTATTAAAACATAGTTGGTATATTTTACAAAATCTTTGTAAATTTTATTTTTATCAAAATACATTTATAAACTATTACGTTCTCTGTTGTATATTGTCTCAGAAGTGTAATAATTCATTCTCCATTATTTTCTTTAATTAATTCTTCATATATTATCTATTTGTTATCGATGTTCAAATGTGTTCAATGCGGATTTGTGAGGACAATGTTTATAATTGTCTGTTTTAGTTCTGAATTTATTATATCGTCTAAAATTGAGATAGTATGTTTAGGTTCACCGTCTCTATTGTAGCGAATAGGGGATCTGGTTTGCCCTTGTGCTATGTTAGCAAGATTTTGAGGCAAATTAAGAATTCTACTTAATCATTAGTGGGTGTTTTTAAATCTGTTTCTCATTCAAGGTCTTGTATAATTTGATCTAATTTTGGGTCATGAAAGTTGACTGCATAGATTCTGTATCTATGGGATTAATTTGGATTCTAGATAATGCATCTGCTTTCGTATTTAATTTTCATTTTTTTTATATTCAATCGTAGTCATAATCTTGTAATTTTGTTTTTTATTTTATGAATTTTGAGTTTTGTACGTCTTTTAAGGAGAATAACCATCTTATTGGTTTGTGATTTATATAAACCTTGAATTTTCGTCGCAATAGGTATGGTCCAAACTACCGTGTTGCCCAAACTAAACCTAGTCGTTGTTTATTAATCACTGAGTTATTTTTTTTCAGATTCGTTTAGTGTTCTTCATGCGTAAGTTATGTTTATCATTATTTACCTCTCCCTGAGATAGTACTGCACCTAATGATACTGTGCAGTATCTGTTGATAGGATAAAAGGTTTTGAATTATATGGTTTTTGTAATAATGGGCTATTTGTCAAAATTCATATTTCAAATGTGTGCAAATTCTTTTATGTGGTCTATTTTCAGAAATAAAGTCATAGGTTTTGTTCATTTAGAATAATTTTTAATCATTTTTTTGTAATAGCCAATAGAAATTAATTTCCTATTTTCTTTTTGGTAGCGGGAATTTTAAAATTGCTTCGATGATGCGCCTAAGAAATTTTACTATTTTAAAAATTCTGATTTATCCAATTACACGGTCGATAGCCGCACGGTTTAAGGCGTCAGTACTTAAATCGATGTGTCGATCTGCCCGGGATTCGAATCCCGCGGCCGGTAGACCGTAGATTAGCTATGGTTGTACGGAGGATTGGCACCCTCTGTGCATGTATGGTAGGGTGGAAGAATGTTGGCTTGGGTCAATGTGAGAGATTGACACCGGTTGGCATTTGACCACCCCCCTAATTAATGAGGTTTTCCAGGTTTCCCTCATTCCTGAATGGTGGTTAGGGCCTACCAACATAAGTCGTTCCTGGACGCAAATACGGCCTGCGTAATAATAATATGCCGCCTCCTCTCCCGCACAAGTCTCCGACTTCTGGGCTAATTCTCGTAGTTAGAATGAGGAGTAGAGATATTATTATTATTAATTATATTTTTAAATTGGTTTACCTAAATCTCTCACAAAATTAGGCTGACGCTTTCAATGTGTTCTTGTAAAAATGTTGAAAATATTAATGTATCATCCATATATACCAGATATCTGTTGTGTAAACCCGACAAAACATGGTTCATAGTTCTTTATAAGTTGATGGAGCATTTTTGAGTCCAAACGGCATTCTGAGAAACTCATAATGTCCATTGACTGTTGTTTTCTCATTTCTATCCTTAGAATCCATTTTAATTAGATGATGTCCACCAAGTTTAATGTTGTAAAATATTGACTTCGTCCTAATTTATTCAAAACGTTATTTATATTTGGTATAGGAAATTTATTTGTTACTTTTGGTTTTTTTGGTTTAATTTTCTATTCTCTGTTACAATTCTGAACTTTTTGATTTTTTTTTGAGAACATACCATATAGGAGATGACCATGGTGATATTGAAGTTTACTATTTGAAGTGGTGTCAATTTCTGAATTTGTTATTGTTTCGTCATGATGGTAAGTTTCGTCATTTTCTGGACTTATTGATGTTTTTGGTACTGGTAGGACTCGTCATATTCAAGGAATTCGTATTCCTTAAGTATATTGTTTTCCTGTATAGGAAGATTTTCGTTCTCTGTATCCTCAGAATATTCTTCGGGGCAATAATCTTCTCCATAGTAGGGTTCTTCTTTACAGTACTCATATTCAAGGCCTGTATACGAGGTGTTGTCTTGAAAATGTAGCTCTTGGAATGTAAATCTCGTTGGAGGTACAGCTTGTTGAGTAGTTCCAATAGTTTTGGTGTTTGCGGATAAGGTATCCATTGATTGAGGATAATGGTTGTGTAGGACGTGGGCATTTTGAATATCGGTACGTTGAGAATTTTGATTATTTGAAGAAAATTGTTGATTTAGGAAAGCTGACTTGTGGAAAATTTTGTATTTGAGGAAAATTTGAAAAATTTGTGTGTTGAAAATTTGAAGGGCTAGGATATTGTTGCGAAGAGCTTGGATTAAAGAAATGTGGGGTTTAATGTGGAAAATATGTATTTACATTAGGGGTTACTTTACATTATTAATATTAAAATTGTAATGCAATATTAAAAATCAAATTTGGGCTGCATTATTGTCAATAATGAGCATACTATAAACTTTTTCCCAGGAATTTACGAAATTTAGAAATTTTGACCCATCACTGTTGAAAAAACGCAGTTAGATCTAGATAATCGTGAATACTAATACTTGTTTGAGCCATATTTATGGCTTGTTCGTTATCTAAATTGTCAAAGATATAGAAAGAATTACCAAAAAATTGTTTTGTAAATATTAACAAATAATAAAAATATTTCCCATATGTTGCCAACTTTTTCGGCGGATACTGTTTGGAAAATATTATACATACATATTAAATAAAAAATATTTTTTTCAGGACAAGATGAAATTTTGTAAGGGCTGTAACAGTATATAGGATTAAGTTAAACTTCCACATTAACAAAAATGGCAAACACAGCACATTTCGTACGCAGACAAAGTTCCCGAGACCTAAATCCACAGCGATCCCTAGACCGCCTAGAATTAAAAGAAATGCGGGGAAGACTTGTAATGGAGAATGGAAACACGGGAAGTTATGGAGCTACAAACGTTGCATTTGAAGATACAAGCCCCAATACTAAAATTAAGTCAGCCTGTAGCAGCAAAAGAGGTTCCCAAGATGGGAAACCTATATTTAAACCGGAGTGTGGAGAGGATGAGAGAGAATCATGGGACAGTAAATTAACGTTTTTGCTTGCAACAATTGGTTACGCTGTTGGTCTTGGAAATGTATGGAGATTTCCGTATCTGGCACAAAAAAATGGCGGGGGTGCTTTTCTCATTCCTTATTTCGTTATGCTTGCCATTGAAGGAATTCCCATCTTTTATTTAGAATTAGCAATTGGCCAGCGGTTAAGAAAAGGCGCTATTGGAGTATGGAATCAAGTCTCTCCTTTCTTATCAGGTTAGTATGTAGTAATAATATAAAGTTATAACATTTCCTCCAAATAATATGTCTGTATACATATTAAATGAATAATTATAAGCTTCATTCAGTTCTTTAACAGAAGTGTAATTATGAATAGATATTTTTAAAAGTTATATAATGTAAGATACATAACTCTTCTACCTCCATTATATGCTTTTTTTTAAATATAATTTTTTGTAATATACACGCTACTCCAAGAAATTAACGCATCACTAAAATAATTTTAGTAACTTATTTTTGCGTTATAAATAATAAATTTAAATATTCTAATTATTTATAATAATATAATATAACTCGATTTGTTTTAATAAAAAAAATTAAAGGTAGCTTATTTTGTATGGAAATAAACAATACTTTTCAATTGATTTAATATCATGTATTTATATATCTGTTTCGGATTACATCCTAACATCCATGGTTCATGCTCAAAAAGAGTGTTTGCATGTTATTTTGATTCAGATTACTCCATATTTTTAAAAGAATTATTCATATCCTAGACATGCTGCATTCATTTCTTGGCATTGTAGTAATAGCAATAATATTCACCGACTTTAAGTGAATTAATTACATAATGTTTCGGTTGTACTAAGGCTGCGAAAATATAATACAGAAGCAGTAGCAATTTCTAATGACATTGAAAGTATAAACTAATATAATTTGCTATAGGTTACACTAGTACTAAATTAACACTAATTAGCTATGAAATAAGCACTCCCAGGTAGCACACAATATTCATTGGATGGACATATTGAACATGGAGAAGTAATCATCTGGACATACATGAAACTACATCGAATGGACAAACATTTTATGTCCATCCTGAGCCATGCTGTTTATTGATCTTTGAATAGACATCCAGTGGACGTATTAGAAAAGCCATCTAATGGATGTTTTCAAAAGGATATCCATTGGCCGTTCATTATATTCAACTTTGTATATTTATACATATTGACTGGACGTCCATCGGATGTACAGAAAGAAACATATAGTACACATTTATGAAACATTGTACCTACATTGGATGTCCATTCTATGTTCATTCAGATCTCCATCACTTACATAATCGCTATTATATTTCAAACCATGATGATTACGCTCTAAATATTTTACTTGTTTTTTGACGTGACAGCTTAACATATCGTACAGCACAGGTGATTTCAGCAAATAGTTTATATTTTGTTGGCCATTAACAAATGATATTTCCTTGTGATATAATTCGGGGAGATTAAATCCCTGAAAATCAACAACAATTAACTTCATATTTACTAATCGACAGCTCTGATACTGAAATATTATGTTTTATCCTTCTTAGGACATTTCTTAAGCCTCTCCACTCAAAGCTAAATATTCCATAACTCGATCGTGAATAATTATACAATGTGCCATAGTATTTTTCTTCAATCTCTAATTTTACATCGATAGTTGAGGATTTTATGGAATAATTTCTTTTTGAGCAATTTATGACGAATAATGCTCGAAGTCTTTCTTTCCACATATTTCAACAAGTTTTAGCAGACCAAATCTCTTTCGTGGCGCTACTACTCAAGGAGGGCAGTTCATGTAGTTCCAACTGTTTACATGGCATTAAGAGTAGCATATTACTGTTTATTTGAGTCAATAAATCAAGTCTTACTAGATGATTTAAAAATATATTCGCCGAATATGTCTTCATTCGATACAATAAAACAATTGTTATCGGTGCGAGCTCTAATTAATCGCAGTATCTGTTTACCGAAGATAATCCTATAATCATGAAAGAATCCAAGAAAATGCTATGAAGGCATTTTTAAATAAAATGTTAATTTTATTGGATCGTATGTTACCAACTGTCCTTCAGGATAATTCTAGCCTCCGATTCTAAGGAACTATCGTCTTTTTCATAGCATAAATAGTCTTTTACTAGACTCACTACTTCCGAATATCGTACTTTATTCAGTTCCTTTCGGTTTATGTTATGAAATCGTACAAAAATACTTCATTGGTAAATTCAACGCAACCAGTACCAGAGTAATTTTTTCCTAAGTTCCCTTCAATCGATATGTCAGCATCACTGATCAATAAGGCAGTCTGTTGATAAATTGCAATTTCTATTTCATCGTTATTTCCCATTTATTTGGGAAAGGATAATATGTATAAATCTCTTTTCTAGCGATGAATTCATCATACTGAGGATTCTGGAATAACTAATTCTTCCGACATTGTAACCCAAAGATTTTAAATACCAAATATTAGCAGGCTTTAAAGCGGAAACCTTCCTCTTCATACAACGATTAGATACAGAATGATGTTGGCATAAAGCAGCTCTGTTTATACAGTTTGCTGATATAAATATTAACCTGATTCTAGTTCTAACTCCACAATAATAATAAGTTTCTCTTGAAAATTATCCGGCTTAAAGTTTTGATCAAGTATTTTCAGAGTGACGTTATTTATCTCGCGTGTAGGTACTACTCTTAACTGGTAGAAAAATTAGATTATTAGATTCTATGTCTATGGCGTATCCAGGATCAACTTTCAATTCAAATGTAAAAATTGTAAAAACGAACTTATTTCTTTAGTCAGTAGTATCTACTTTAGCTGTGTAAAACTTTCATCATCTCGTATTGTGGTCTTATTTACTTGTATTATTTTATTATTACTTGACATAATGGAAGAAACATATTTTGGTTTCAGGAATTGGTATTAGCAGTGCTGTAGTATCTTTTAATGTAGCACTTTATTACAACACAATAATTGCATGGTGCCTATTTTACTTCGTACAAAGTTTTCAATCCCAACTGCCATGGGCTAAATGCCCCAATGTATATTTCCCCAATGGTTCATACATCACTGAACCGGAATGTGTGGTTAGTATTGATATCTATTAGCTACATACGAATGATAGTTTCATGCATGTTCAAGCGAGCATGCCTTTCTCATACATGTATCTACTGACGTGTTTAGAAATGTTTTAACTTCCATTGCGTTTTTTGAATAGTTAATAAAAAGATTTTTCAATTTCCGTTTATAAATATCGTATTCAACATTTATGCAATGAATTAGATTTTGAACAGTCAATTAACTTGAATAAGTCGCAAATATGAAATTACTTCAATTTTTCTGAAGACGCAGAAAATATGGGATGTGATAAAAATACATCTGGTCTGATGAAAATTTAATCGCTTTATTCCGGTGGAATTAGAGTTTGAACCTGAAAAAAATATTAGTAGACATTTTATTGTAATTTATGACAGGGAAGGGTATGTAGAATGATAATATCAAAAAAGTAACTTGAAAGAAGTGACGCTCAGTTGGCAAATTGCAAATAAGTGGCAAAATTACGTGTTTTTACACTTTTTTAATGCCCACGACAATCTAGACGATCTATCGGAATATTAGTTATTTTATGTTGTAGGCAATTAAATTACCAGTCATTTTTCACTAATTTGTTAACTGAAATAAAGGTCGAACGCGGAAATATCTGTTTTAAAATTGCGCATTATTATGGCAAAAAGTAATGAATGTTGATGAAATTTATGGAAAAGACGGTCAATCCAAAGACCAAGATGTGTGCCAATGGCCGATTCGATTGACCGTGAAATTGTTGCTCTAAGTATTTGTTAATTAATTTCGTTCATTTTTTTTCAACTAATTGTTTAATTACTAAACGTTAATATTAGAAGTTAATATCCTAGATGTAAGTTCTAATTGATCCAAATAAGCGTATCGAAAAAGAAAAATTTACAACTAACAAAGTATGACGTGCAAAACAATTGTAGGCATTTATTCCTGTAATTGTGTTTAATCCTGTTGGGATAATTAAAAAAAAAACAGCGTTATAAACAAATTGTCCCAGGGTCAGGCAAAAGCGACTCGGGAATTCGCTCTTCTTTCATTAAAGTTTATTTTTATGGTAATTTAAAAGAGAAATAACCTACGCCTATTTGTTCCCAAAATAGCTTTTTTTATAACGTTAATTGTTAATTAACTATTGGACGTATTGGACTGGGATTTTAGAGATACTTAAAGAAAGGGTTAAACTAATATTTCCAGAAAGTTTTACACTGATAATTCATGTAATAAACGCGTTAGAAACATTAAAAGTTAACGTTAATGAACGGCCTGCACGCGGGAGAAGGAGCGCCGGCCCACGCACGCGCGTGAGCTTCGCTTTCGGCCGCGTGTGAGATATTTCACTTGAACGTTTTAAATTCGGTTCTCTCGCGTGCAGGTCGTTCATTATCGTTAACTTTTACTCCTGCTAGCGCAGAGGCAGATTGGCTATGCGGGAACTCGGGAGGTTTCCCGATGGGCCGCGGTCATTTTGGGCCGGTCCGCGGTGTAGAAGGATGAAATATATTTTTGAAATAAAAATTTAAAAAAAAATTGAAAAAAATATGAAAAAAAAAATTGAAAAAAAAAATTGAAAAACAAAAATTGGAAAAAATTTTGAGCAATAAATTCGAAAAAAATCAATGAAAAAAATTTGGAAAGAAATGAAAAAAAGTATATATTAACCTAGGGCAGTAAAATAAGAAATGTCGACTTCACCTTGGCCGACAATTACATGTGATCTGAGGCTTGAAAGCTTCAATTTTTAACAAACTGTGTGAGAAATTGGTCATATATGAACCAGAAATAACTACTCAAAAACTAAGAGATGAATTAACAAGTTTAGCACACCAGTGGAAAAAACTTGTACAAACTCCATTGGACGAGTATGAAATACGTCAATGTGATGAAAGTGAAAGTGAAGAAATAGACTAGGCGGTATCTGTTTTGGTTTGGATGAATTGTATATCCACGGAGATTTTTGGCTTTTTGGCTTTCAAATATCACTAAAAATGAACATTTTTCTATGCGCATAAAAAAACGTGGGCTTAACTTTTGGCGGCACAATATGTTAAAAAAAATCGAAAAATGTCATATTTTTCTTCCTATTTAATTATGTATCTTTTCAAGAGTTGATTTTAGGCGAAAATGGAAGAGGAAAAAAATGTTTGTAATTAAATTTTTTACAAAACATGACTAGTTACAAATCGAATGAATCATGATTATTATGGTAAAAATCGAAAAAATCGCAAAAATGGGGTTAAAAAACAATACTTTTTAGGGAATTTTTTTGGGGTATTTAAATTGGGTATAGGACCTTTATACTTGGCTCAAAAAAACTTCATGTTATGTAGAATTATCACACCAAATTTCATCAAAATCGGTTCGATAGATTTTGCATAATAATTTTGCAATCCAGATTTTGAAAAAAAATTTGCAAATTTTCAAAATTTTGCACAGCAAAAACCAAGGCCCTTAGATACTTGAAAATTTAATCACATATAGAAGGGCTCTCAAGCTTTCAAACTTTTTTTGAAAAATTCGAATCCGTCAATTAGGAGAGCTCTGGCGCTTGTTTAAACATTGGTCGAATTTTTGTACTTATAAACAATTAGAACTTTGTGAATATTCAATCAAATCAAATTTTTTAAAGCAGGTTTTAAAAGTTCTTGGAAAGACGCTTCTTTAAAAAAAAAAAAATCGATTGGTCAATTAGTTACGTAGTTATAGCCGATCAAAGTTAACCGTCATTTACACTAAATGTACTGGGACATCCGGGCTAATTTTTCGAAAAATACCTTTGGTATTCCGAGTACTTACCAGGTCTAAGATTACAATACTTTTCTTCATTGGCAACCTACTTTAAATCGTGTTTAAAGTTATTTATGCAAGCGAGAAATTCAAGAAAATCGTACGGGTGGTTTCAAATGCCTATCGTTACTGGTCTTTCAACTGTCCGATAGTTATTTATCTTTAAACTTACCTTTATTGTATCAAAGGTAAGTTCATAAACTTATATACTGTTTATCAAAAATCAAAAACAAATTTTTTAAATATTCTGAAATTGATTAAACAACAATTATTTTCAAAATATAACGAAAATTAGTAATATAATGAGTTAATTTCTCATTTGCTGATATTTTGAATTATACTTTAATCTCAAAAGAAATTATGATTAAATAAATAAATTAATTATACAAAATCAATAACTTTTAAAACCTACTTTAAAAAATTTGATTTCATTGAATATTCACATAGTTATTCTAATTGTTTATAAGTACAAAAATTAGACCAATGTTTAAACAAGCGCCAGAGCTCTCCTAATTGACGGATTCGAAAAAAAGTTTGAAAGCTCGAGAGCCCTTCGATATGTGATTAAATTTTCAAGTATCTAAGGACCTTGGTTTTTGCTGTGCAAAATTTTGAAAATTTGCAATTTTTTCTTCAAAATCTGGATTGCAAAATTATTATGCAAAATCTATAGAACCGATTTTGATGAAATTTGGTATGATGATTTTACATGACATGTAGTTTTCTTGAGCCAATTTAAATACCCCAAAAAAATTCCGATTTGTAACTAGTAATGTTTTGTAAAATATTTAATTACAGACATTTTTTTCCTCTTCTATTTTCGCCTAGAATCAACTTGAAAAGATACATAATTAAATAGAAATTAAAAAGAAAAATATGACATTTTTCGAATTTTTTTAACATATGTCGCCAAAAGTTAAGTTCACGTTTTTTTTATGCGCATAGAAAAATTTTCATTTCTAAAATCTCCGTGGATATACGATTCACCCAAATATGGCTTTTTGAAACAGATACCGTCTGGACTAAAATCACAGAAGATGAAACTGATGAAACTCAGCAGAAATATAAAGGAAAAAATAAAAAGAAACATGAGCCATGTAAAAACTGCATCATATGTTGTTACAGGATTTTAAATAGATACAATCTATTGACAAACGTATTTCTCTTTGCATCAGTAGCATATAAATACGTATTATCTCTATCGTTTACACAAGTAGCTGTGAGAGGTCGTTTAGCACTTTGAAGTTTTTAAAAAATCGTTTGAGAAGTTCGCTGACTCAGGAAAAACTAGAGACTTTTATGTTAATGGCATTAAATGTAGACATTTTAAATAATTTGTCATTAGATGATGTAATTAATGAATTAGTTTTAAAAAGTACACTTTTAAAAAAATCTCCTTTTATATTAAATTGGAATTTTTTGATTATACTTAGCTCTACAACACAATATTTTCGATTAATACAAAATATATATTTTAATGATTATTTATTTATTAAAAATAATAATGCTTTAACTTCTTATACCTTCCAACTACTACTTATCCATTTTAAAAAAATATAAATTATTTTAATTTAAGATTTTAATTTTTATCTACAAACAAATTGTGATATTAATTATTTTTAAAGCAATATCAAATTATCTATGGCTAACTTTTTTCAAATATTTCAAATAAATCATTCACGAAGAGCCTTTTTAAAAGAGCCCTATTTAAAATAAAATAAATTCTGAAACTTTCAAAAAACGGGCCGCTTGATGAATGTTTCCCGGGCCTGTTCATCTAGCCAGTCCGCCTCTGTGCTAGCGCGTTTATTAAACTATGAATGTAAAATTTTTGGACATTTATATGTCCAAAACGTTAAACTTATTTTAACCCTTTCTTTAATTGTCTTTAAAATCTTGGTCCGATATGTCCAACAGTTAATAAACAATTAACATTATATATAAAAAAAGTTATATTGGGAACAAAGAGGCGCAAATGATTTCTGTTTTTTAAATTACCGTAAAAACAAGCTCTATTTAATGCAAAAAGAGCGAATTCCCAAGCGATTTTTGTCTGACTCTGGGACAATCGGTTTATAACGCTGTTTTGCACGTCTTACTTGGTTTGTTGTAAAGAGCAACTTTTTGTTTTTCAATACGTTTCTTTAGATTCAATTGGTACATGTATCTACGATATTAACATTTAGTAATTAAACAATTAGTTGCAAAAAACGAACCAAATTAATTAACAAATAACTGGAGCAACAATTTCACGGTCAATAGAACCGGCGTTTGGCACACATGTTAGTCATAGGATTGACAGTCTTTTCCATAAATATCATCAATTATTATTATCATCATTATTGCTTTTTGCAATAATAATGCGCAATTTTCGAAAATTGATATTTGAAAAAACACGTAAATTTGCCACTTATTTGCAATTTGCTAGCTTCACCTTTCGAGTTACTTTTTTGATATTATCATTCTAAATAAAGTAAAGTGCAATAAAATGTCTACTAATAATTTTTTCAAGTTTTCAGATTTTATGATCTAATTCGACTGGAGTATTTATGATACTAGGACACCAAATGGGAAGCTGTGGCGGTACAGTTAATCATATTTATTAAAAATGTATAATTATTGTTATTAAATTGAAATTTAATTAAATATATTCGGCTTTACTGCGATGATGGTTTTGTGGCCGTTGCTTCTCATTTGGCATTCTAAAGAGATACCGGCCCAAATGTTATAATATAGATCAAAAACAGAGTAAAAACAATACCTGTAGAGTATATTTCATATGACAAGTGCCATTTCGCTAATTCTAAAAAATCTCTTTATACTGAGTATAGTGTATAGTGAGTGAGTTTATACACGCATGCGCGCTTTCATGCACGCTTACATCCACGTACGCGTACATTCACGCATGCTCACACGCATGTGCTTTTACTGTGTTACATGGACAGGGTATCGCGAATTGCATACCCAAACTTTACCTGTGATACAACTGGTCAAAATTATAAAATAGCTTCCATGGGCATAGGTCAGGAAATATTTAGTTTCCGAGCTAGAGACTGTTAAGTTAAAACATTGTTATTTATTCTAATACCTGATGATGTCTTGTTTAGGTAAATAAAACCTATATGTATACCGAAAAGTAAGTATGTTTATGGGAACTTTTTTCTTATTTCAAGGAATTATATCACCAGGTAGAGTTTGGCGATGTACAATTCCGGATAGTTTGTACAGAGCTATCCAGAATTGATGGTTGGTCGCCACTACAGGAAAACAGTAAGGGCAAAGAGGAAACCGCAAGCAATTTTATGGTATGATGTTATGATGTTTAATTAAGGTAGCATACCAAAGATTTAATAAATAATGTGATTTTAAAAATCGACCAATACGGCCCTGTACAGTGAAAACGGTGAGATTTAGACTCTTGCTTTACAAGGCAATTGTTAAGTTTATCTTCCTAAAGGCTGCGAATTATTTTTCTCAATTTCATTTTTTTCATCAGAGAAGACCTTTATTCTCTTTCCTCAACAACATGTTGTGCATTATGGTGCAGTAAGAAATTGTATTATAGAAAAATGTATTTTTAAAATGCTGACACAAATCCATAGAACTAATAATTATTAAAAGTACTGTTACTGTGCTTTATAAAGGATGTTGTAGAAATAAATGCCAAAATTTATCCACCCACACTTAATTCAACAAGATCAACAACTTTTGTTTCTAAAACCTCTTAGTTTTCAAGATAATATAATTTTAAAATTTTTGTTACTGATTACTGTAGTATAGGTCGAAATTTCTATTCATGTTATATAATAGACAACAATACTAAAAAAAAATGGGAATTGATTTAATATTTAACTAAGGCTAGCAAAAAATAGTGAGAGCAGTTCGTTACCGTTATTTGAATGCATATGTAGTTGAATTTTCGAAAAAAAAAAACATTCGGCAAAAGTTTCTACATTTGATGAGTATACATGGTTAAAATTATGACAATTATTTTTGGGAATACCCTATATCGTAGGGAAAACATATGTTAACATAGTAAATGCACGTTTTAGACTTTGCATGTAAAAAATGTTCCATAGAAATAGAATACGTAGAACTCTTTCCAATAAATATTTTTATTGTACATAAAATATTGTAAACATTTCATCACAAATGACGATTCCTTGTTTTTAGATCAGTAGTCCTACTCAATATTTCTGGTACAGAACAACACTAATGGTATCTGAAGACATAAGCACCCCTGAACAATTCAACTGGAAGATTGCTTTGGCTCTTTTAGTTGCCTGGATACTGGTGTATATGTGCATGATCAAGGGTATTGCTTCCTCAGGGAAAGTAGTCTACGTGACAGCCACATTTCCTTACATAGTACTCATAATTTTCTTTTTTCGCGGCATAACATTAAAAGGCGCCGGCGACGGACTACGCCATTTATTCACTCCGTCCTGGCATACCATTTTGGATCCAGTCGTGTGGTTGGAAGCTGGAACTCAAATATTTTTTTCTTTAGGTTTGGCTTTTGGTGGCCTTATAGCGTTTTCGTCTTACAATCCTGTAAATAATAATTGTTATCGAGATGCTGTGATGGTATCTTTAACGAACTGTTTTACTTCAATGTTTGCTGGTATAGTAGTTTTCTCCATAATTGGATTTAAAGCTACTATGACTTTCGAGAAGTGTTTGCAGTTGAGAAGTTCTATGCTTATGGAATTATTAGGGTCTGATTATAATAGCTCTAAGATTCCCCATCAGAGCACTGTTCCGACAAATCAAGCTATCAACAAAATATTGCCAGATTTACCAGTTTGTGATTTACAAAAGGAGTTAGATAATGTAAGTGAAATACGAGTATATATAATATAAGGTTATACCTACTTTTTTGTCATAGTTGTAAAAAAAATGTAAAACACTGTGTTTATGTTGTACTGTTAACTATTTCAAACAATCATTGTCTCTTTTGTACTTTCCTACTGTTTATTAATCTTTTTCTATTTATTTTTAAGCTTTTACTACATGTACAGGGTGATTCAGTCATTATGTCATTAATTTTAATCACGTATTCGGAAGGCTTAATAAAGACAGAAAATCGGAAAAACAAAATTTTTACTCGACTTTTAAAAATGAAGGAAATCAACTCCCGCTAAGAAGGCGGCCCTGCCAGATGCCCGGATGCTCGGAAAATTTTGTAACGTAATGTCACGAACAAACCGTCAGCTGAGGCGAACAGCGTTGCCAAGTTCACATTATAATCACATTTAATTTTGCCGCTTTAGTATACGGATACATATGTACGAAACCAATAAAATTCAAGTAAATAATGAATCATGCTGCATTTTATTATAACTAATTTTAATAATTATATTAACTTAGTGCAAAATGTTTTAACAAGCATTACTTCTCGAAGTCAACTTTCGTTAAAAGAAAATAAATAAAGCAGAGGTTTGTAGGCACACTGAATTTTATCAAATAAAAAAAATCGGCACACTAAATACCCGAATATATAAAATACACTACACACGGTTACAAAACCATTACCTAACAATGTAAAGCGTTTATTCAAATCTACCACCCTCCATATCTCCCGCATTTTTCCCGCAAAGGAGTTAACATAACACATTTTCAAAAAGTTCAAGCTTTAGAAGCAGCTGATTTCCCCAATCGTCTTGAATTTTGCAATTTATTCCTGAATCGAAGTGCAGCAGAACTTTATTAACAAAGTGCTCTGGACGGATGAATGATATTTTACTCGTGCTGGCATTTTAAACAGGTAAAAAACATAAGTAGTGCCTTCTCAAAAACAATACCTAGGTTACACCAAAGTTTAGATTTACACTAAAGTTTACATTTATTATGTAAACTTTGGTTATACGCAACTGCATATTGAATAATAAACTGAAATACTAAAACTGTGATTATTTAACATAATAAATTATAAAACGTCAAAACGTTAATAATATTAAAAATGATAAATTGTAATAACCGTACATTCGAAAACAATCATCCCTATTCATTGATGACACGATTTTCCTTTGATAAAACACCGACAACTTTTTGCGACGACACTAAAGTGCACACGTGCAAATTAGAAGGTTATTGAACTCGACAAAGGTTGATCTAGGTCGGAAATAAGGACCGAGTTGTTTATTTGTCTCCGTCCGATTGTATTTTTATCTTTTCTTACAGTCAATATTTAAATACTACATACATTTCACCCTCTCTTTATAATTTATCTAGTGAGTGTTGGTTTTTTATGTCATTATTTCTGTAATGAAATTGAAATGGTTATGAAATGAAATTTAAATTATTTGAACTCTTGGGGTTTTGTAATTTCAATATAAAATTTTATTTAAAGTGAAACGGAGCTAATTTCTTTGCAGCCATAATAGTCACATTTGGTCACCCGCACACTACTCGTCGGTTTAGCTTTCAGAGGAGGTTGGTTGTCAATGTATGAACAGGAGTATATGGCGATCGTTTAATTGGGCCGCATTTTCTACCTGTACATCTGAATGGGCCGCGTTACTTTCAATTTTTAGTAGAAGGCTTACAGCAAATTAAAAAATTATCACTATGATGTTAATAAAAAATGATTTTTGACAAGTCATGCTCAGACCTCCTCGAGGTTCTTGCTGGGTAACAATAACAATTTAATATGTTGATTGCATAATTATAAAAAAATAATTTATAGCATTTTAAATTATTATTGGCTGACGTGAGCAAACCGTTTATTTATTGTCTTTATATGTGCGAAAATATATAAATATGGCAACATTGCATCTAGGTCGCTTTGTTCATATCGTAGCCGGCTGACGTCAGCCGGTCAGTAACAGCCTGAAAAGGGGGTTAAATAATGATTTGAAAATATTTTTTTTCAGCTTAAATATGCATTTAATTTTTTTTTAATCACGCCATCGTATTATACTCATTTTTCTCTATCTGCTCTTAAAATTAATGACATTATGACTGAATCACCCTGTATAAATAAAATCTTAAAGTAGGTATATTCGGGTATGCAGTCAAAGCCAACATAAATATGTAAATTTTTTAATTGCTTTTATTCCTTCTTCAGGAGAAACTACAATAGAACATATTATATTTAGGTAACAACAAAAATATTAATAATGCCTAGAACAAAGTTTCTTCAAAAAACCAGTCATAATATAAAATATGTTGAAAATATAATGTTAACACTATAAAAGCTATTGATTAAAACTTGACAAAAATTATTTACACTAAAAATATTTAAAATCTCTAAAAATTATTTTCAAACATTTTTTACTATCTCTAACCTTAAACCGTGAACGGCCATGTGGTGTCAAGGAAACAAACAATTAAATCAGAACCCAAAATAGTGTCTTGAAGCCAACAGAGTAAGAACAATCGAGACAAACCATTCTTCGAAAAGTGTATTAAATACCTAAATGTTCCCTTAAAATCATTTTTCATTTCATAAAGTAAATTTTAGAAAACTTTTCGGTGGCGTTCTAGGTAAATTGAATTGTTTTAGAAAGCCAGTAATACTTGACACAGAAAATGAACGTTGCTCTTTTACTACCGTTCATAACGCCTACACTAAAAAAAAACACCAAATTAGGAGCGGTAATACTGTAACCAAATAATAATAAATACAAATTACAAATTACAAATTACAATTACAAAATAATTAGACAAATAAAATTACAAACTTATCAACCAACTGAATAAATTGAAAACACATACATATACAACAGGATAAGGTCATTCAATCCTATATGAAGCAGATCGATGATCATGCAGTATTTGGCATTTCACTTAGCATGACATAGCCAATACTCTGTACATTAAATAATAGATTTATTCACATTATCTACAGTTTAGAACGTCTGAATAAATTAATAATTATATGTTTATATGTAGTTACATTTCAATGGTAATAATAGAAATAATTTATTTTAGTTTTTTTAATTTATAATAATCAACCAAAATCAATAAATTTGAAAAATAGATTGATAAATTTATGACTCCTTTTGCAGTCAGCTTCTGGAACAGGATTGGCGTTCATAATATTTACCGAAGCAATAAACCAATTTCCAGGAGCGCAGTTCTGGTCTGTGTTATTCTTTCTAATGCTGTTTACTCTTGGAATTGATTCTCAGTTCGGGACATTGGAGGGTGTAGTAACTTCCGTAGTGGACATGAAACTGTTCCCGAATCTTCCAAAAGAAATATTAACCGGAGTTATTTGCTTAACATGCTGTTTGATATCAATGGTGTTTGCGCATGGAGCAGGCAGTTACGTTTTCGTCCTATTTGACAACTTTAGTGGAAACTTTCCTTTACTTATTATTGCATTTTTTGAATGCATTGGAGTCTCTTATGTATATGGATTAAAAAGGTAAAAGTTTAAATATAGTTATAGCACTTAGTTATAGATAATAGGCTATAGCTGATATCCAATGAAGTTGAGATGCAGTCCGAGAATTAAATAATCCTGAGAGAGGGGTATTCCTTTTTTATGTGGAAAATAAATAATTCATTTCTTTTTCATTGACTGCTTTGCAGAAGATATACTAAAGTCGAATTAGATCATAAAACCCGAAAACTTGAAAAAAATTATAAAAATTATTAGTAAGCATTTTTTATTGCAATTTATGAGGAAGACGGATATGTGGAATGATTATATCAAAAAAGTAATTCGAAAGAAGATGTTAAGTTGGCAAATTGCAAATAAGTGGTAAATTTATGTTTTTTCACTTTTTTTACTGCCTACGAAAATCTAGACGACCTATCGGCATATTAGTTATTTTTTTTCGAAAAATTACGCGTTATTATTGCAAAAAGCTATGAATGTTGATGAAATTTATGGAAAAAATGTATAAACAAATTGTCCCAGTGTCAGGAAAAAGCCGCTCGGGAATTCGCTTTTTTGTATTAAATAGAGTTTATTTTTACGGTAATTTAAAAAATCAGAGAAATATTTTTTTTATAACCTTAATTGTTAATTAACTATTGGACGAATCGGACCGATATTTTAGAGACAATTTAAAAAAAGGGTAAAACTTTTATTTTCAGAATATTTTACATTAAGTTCATGTAATAAACGCAACAGTAAAAGTTAACGTTAATGAACGGCCTGCACGCGAGAGAATGAGCGCCAGGACCATGCACGCGCATGAACGCCACGCACGGTTGCGCGCGTGATTTGTGAACCGAATTTGAAACGTTCAAGTAAAAAACCTCGCGCGCGACGAGAGCAATGTTCATGCGCCTGCGCGGGCCTGGCTCTCTTTCTCCCGCGTGCAGGCCGTTCATTAACCTTAACTTTTATTGCTGCTACCGCATTTATTACATGAACTATGAATGTAAAACTTTCTGAAAATAATAAGACACGGTCGATAGCCGCACGGTCGATAGGCGTCAGTACTTAAATCGATGTGTCGATCTGCCCGGGTTTCGAATCCCGCGGCCGGTAGACCGTAGATTAGCTATGCTTGTACGGAGGATTGGCACCCTCTGTGCAGGTATGGTAGGGCGGAAGAATGTTGGCTTGGGTCAATGTGAGATATTGACATCGGTTGGCATTTGACCACCCCCCTAATTAATGAGGTTTTCCAGGTTTCCCTCATTCCTGCACTGAATGGTGGTTAGGGCCTACCAACATAAGTCGTTCCTGGGCGCAAATGCGGCCTGCGTAATAATAATATGCCGCCTCCTCTCCCGCACAAGTCTCCGACTTCTGGGCTAATTCTCGTAGTTAGAATGAGGAGTAGAGATATTATTATTATTAT